TTTTTTTTTTTTTTTTTTTTTTTTTTTTGCAATTTTTAGCTTTTTTCCGCTTTTTCAGCAAAAATTTGGCTTCTGTTATTCTTCTGCTCTTTTCTACTTTTTTTGTTCTTTCTGCTAATTTTAGCTATTTATGGTCGAACAGTTGTTTTCTGCTATATACAGTACAGCTATTTTATCTTTTCACTTTTTTCTGCTCTTTCAACAACATTTTTACTCATTTTTTTCTGTTTTTTTGCAAAGGAAATTTTTTGTTTTGCTTCYTTTAGCTTTTCAAATTGAACTCACATTAACACTATTGTCGTTRAATATTTTCAGCTTAATTTCAGCAGYTTTCAGCAAGAAGCATTCACACTAGCATTTTTGTAGGAAATGCAATTTCTCTAGTTAAGGTTGGGATCTTTGGGGTCTAGAGTGGGATTTTTATTTTTTTACTTGTAGTTGGGCCATTGCCTATTGCTCTCTCCAAAAAGACACTGAGCTGTGCATCTGTGCGTCCCTCTGATGAAAGACACAAAAAACACTCAGTGTTCTGAGCTTCTCTGAATCCAACAAAGGTTTCCCAAGAAATCTCTCTCTTTGATCCAGACAATGGCCTAAATAGTGGAAAGAAGTCATTCAATGCCACAGGGATCACACAGACCATTGTCATGGAGTCCCGTCACCATTTTGTGGTGGTTAAACAAGTTGTGCCCGGTTAGGACTCCAACCAGTGTACTTTAAGTTAAGGCAAGAGCTTTCATTTCATCATAAAAAATCTAACTGTAGCTCAGAATGTGTTCACATTAAGCATTTTATTTGGTAAAAAATWATGTTTTTGTGGATAAGAGGAAGTAATTTTTTAACTAAAATAAATAACAGAGTTGTTCATACATTTCTCTGATGGAGTAATCCTGACAATGAAATGTTCAGTTTATAACAAAGCGCACAATTTAAAGCTGGATATGGTTTGGATTTTGTGTCATTCAGTTGTGTTGTGCTCAGTGCCGAATTTTGAGTTGGGTAATTAGGCACAAACCAGAAATAGTTGGAAAAAGTAAAACAAAAATAAAAACACATGGTTGTAAACGTAAAGGTTCAGCACAACAAAAAAGCAAACAGACCTTAGCAAAAAGCTACAAGGTTACCATTCTAATGACTATCTTTCAGATGATGATAAAATATAATTTATAGCTTTAAATGAGTCAGAGGTGAATCAGCAGGACACTCACTGGCGTTCTTCTTCTCCACTTCCAAAGGGATTGAACAGTGGGGGAGAGGCA